GGAAAAGTAATGTTAGAGGGGCCTGGAAACGTGACTAATGAACAGATAAAATGTTATTTTAGTGCCAGGAATGTGTCTTGTTTATTCTGGACCCTATTTTGAAATTGGCATCTTTTGAAATTTGCTTCAAATTGGCCAAATTGCAAAATTCTGACCACTTTATTGGGTAGTTGAAATTGATAAATGGGTGATTTCTTGTACTCAATTGATAGAACAAATGGAGTTCTAGCAAAATAGCTATGGTTTTAGTAGACTGGAGCATTGGAATTGGCCAAAAATAGGGCTCAAAGTGGGCGAAATTGCCGATGCGTAAATATTGCTGAGGGTGCTAACTTCGTGAGAGCATAATTCCTTAAGTTTTCCATCAAATTTTATACTTTTGGTGTCATTATGATCGGAAAAAGATTCTCTAATTTTATAAGTAAAAAAAAAAAAAATTTCCGAAAATTTTCGACTCTGAGAACAAGTTTGGGAGAGGTTCTCTCGACCCTGAAAGGGTTAACCCTTCGAGGGTCGACAGGCCCTCTCCGAAACTCGTTCTCAGGGTCGGCCAAATTAAAAAAAAAAAATAATTTTCTCTTATGAAACGATAGAGAATCTTTTCCCGATCATAAGGACACCAAAAGTTTGAAATTTGATGGAAAACTTACGGAATTATGCTCTCGTGAAGTTAGCGGTCTCGGCGATGTTCATGCATCGGCGATTTTGCCCACTTTGAGCCCCATTTTCGGCCAATTCCACTGTACTAGTCGACAAAAAACATGAATATTTCGCTAGAATTCCATTTTTTCTATCGAATGGGTGCAAGTGGTGCAGTGGTCAGAATTTAGAAATTTGGTCAATTTCACACAAATTTCAAAAGATGCCAATTTCCGAATAGGGTCCAGAATAAACAAGAAAGACATTCCTGGCACTAAAATGACATTTCCTCTGGTCATTAGTCACGTCTCAAGGCCCCTCTTATATTCTTTTGCTTTCCACTTTTAATTTTTATTCTCACAAAAAATATAAGATTTACTGTTATGCAGACTACTGCATTAGTGTAAAAAATGGTATAAATATTATTGGCGCACTTGTGAAAGAATATTAGACTCACCAGTTGACGTGTATTGGACGCTTGGCACGATTTGTTTACTTTTGAAATTTGGTAAAAATCGAACATTTCTGCTACTTTGAGCTCAATTTCAAGGTACCTTTCATTGTAAAACCAGTCAAAATCATCTCAATTTCTGTAATATGTCTTCCATTCTATAAAATGAGACCAAGAAAACTAGAATACAATAAATACCATACAAAAATACAGTGCAAAGTTGCTGTTTTATTCCAAAAAAAAATGGTCAGTTTTTTTTTTCTCATTATGCACTGTGTGCTGCAGGATTTTTTTTAGACTGTGCACACTGACCACATAGACCCATTCTTTCATATGAAGGCCTACCAGCTTCTCCCATTAGATTTAAGGGCGCTAGAATTTAGGCGTACTAGTACGTCAAAAACCCTGGGTCGTAAGCCGTACTAGTACGTCCGAAACCCTCAAAGGGTTAAGGATGACACTTTGAACAAGATACCAACATAGAAATGACAGTGCTACAATTCTAAAGGGACCCCTAAACAATTATTAACTGTGGCAAATTAACTATTAATAATAAGCAGTGAAATGTAAGGGTGCCATGGGCACAATAAGAACATGCATCAACATCTGTGGTCCAGATTTTTCTAACACCTTACCGAAAGCTATCAATGTGGTACCACTGCCTGAACAAGTGTGGAGGTCTTCAAGAGAAGACTTGACAAACACCTCCACTAAGTGTTAGATAAAACCAGGCTGTGATAGATATGTAGGCCAGCGAGCCACCAGCAGCAGCAGCCTGGCTGACAATGCAAGCACCAGACAAGCCCAGCTCAGAGCTGGGCTGCAAGAGTAGGAAAACTCTCGAAACCCAACAAAGGTATATCAAAACTTTCACAGTAATGCATTACAAGGTATTTTCAACAATACGAGTAATAAGTTATTTAATAATACTACTGTCTTTTAATGTTATTATGGAACAATTGCATAGTATGCCTTTTATTAACTAGAGTCCAAATCTGCTCAAATTCTATATATAGTATCATGGCATTTTTTTTCTTGAGAAAACTACTTCATCTGATAAATATATAAAATACAACAGCTAAGATTTAACTAAATGAACAAGTTGTTTCCCACCAAGACAGTGTGACCCAAGACAAACATTCACCATCATCCATTCAACAGTTGTCTAGCCAGGAGTACACATACATTAATGTATACAATCACCCAAACTAAAACATCCCCAGTCCTGAGTGCAGATACTGTGCTTCCCACTTCTACAACCTGAAGTCTTGGATAATTGGTATCTATGAATCCAATTCATAAATGTTCTTTGTTCATATTCCAAAAACACATCATCCCATAAAAGCACTTGTCTATTCATTCCACCATAGATGTATACATCCTTTTGGTCATCCTATCCTGCTTTGTCCTCTCTAAATACCCAAGCTATTTAAATAACAACAATTCAGCCCTTTGAATCTTATCTCTGGTAACCCCACAATGTCCTCTACTTTCTATGGATCAAAAACTCTGCATGAAATTCACAATACTACATGCTATTAAACCATACCACTGGTGGGGTTTGAACCCGCGGTCAGTTTCAAAACTCCAAACCGTCGCGTTAGCCACTGGGCCAGCTAGCTTCAATAAGATTCGTCCAACTAGGTATATTTCTACACCACAGGAAGGTTAGCATAGGCACCACTGGCTAGCTGGCCCAGTGCCTAACGCGATGGTTTGGAGTTTTGAGACTATGACCTGTGGGTTCAAACCCCACCCGTGGTATGGTTTGTTTGCAATCATATCATTACAATTTCCTGAGTCATATACGCTATTCTAAAACATGACATTCCCTGGCTCTAGCTTCCTTCTCACTGCAACAGTTGAAACTCATACCTCACATCTAGTCTTCATACCACTATATTCTAGAACATTCTCCTTTATGCTTTCATAGATTAACCTCTTTCTTTCCACATGTACCTCAGCATACATGTACTGCCTATTATCTACTTTTTTTCTCCCTCATCTATTATATGGGTTCATCTCTTTTTTCATAATCCCATCTGGCAACATATCCCCTACCCCAGTGTAATATCCAATCTTTCATCGCCTAGATTTTCTGATACTCTCATCACCCTGCTCTTTTCTATGTTTACTTTTAATTTCCTTCTTTTACACTTTTTTTTTTTCAACAAGTCGGCCGTCTCCCACCAAGGCAGGGCGACTCAAAAAAGAAAGAAAATCCCCAAAAAGAAAATACTTTCATCATTCAACACTTTCACCACACTCGCACATTATCACTGTTTTCGCAGAGGTGCTCAGAATACAACAGTTTAGAAGCATATACGTATAAAGATACACAACATATCCCTCCAAACTGCCAATATCCCAAACCCCTCCTTTAGAGTGCAGGCATTGTACTTCCCATTTCCAGGACTCAAGTCTGACTATAAGAAAATAACCGGTTTCCCTGAATCCCTTCACTAAATATTACCCTGCTCACACTCCAACAGATTGTCAGGTCCCAAGTACCATTCGTCTCCATTCAGTCCTATCTAACACGCTCACGCATGCTTGCTGGAAGTCCAAGCTCCTCGCCCACAAAACCTACTTTATCCCCTCTCTCCAACCCTTTTGAGGATGACCCCTACCCCTCCTTCCTTCCCCTATAGATTTATATGCTTTCCATGTCATTCTAATTTGATCCATTCTCTCTAAATGACCAAACCACCTACAACAACCCCTCTTCTGCCCTCTGACTAATACTTTTAATTAACTCCACACCTTTTCCTAATTTTCCACACTCGAATTTTCTGCATAATATTTACACCACACATTGCCCTTAAACAGGACATCTCCACTGCCTCCAACCGTCTCCTCGCTGCTGCATTTACCACCCAAGCTTCACACCCATATAAGAATGTTGGTACTACTATACTTTCATACATTCCTTCTTTGCCTCCATAGATAACGTTTTTTGACTCCACATATACCTCAACGCACCACTCGCCTTTTTTCCCTCATCAATTCTACGATTAACCTCATCCTTCATTAATCCATCCGCTGACACGTCAACTCCCAAATATCTGAAAACATTCACTTCTTCCATACTCCTCCTCCCCAATTTGATATCCAATTTTTCTTTATCTAAATCATTTGATACCCTCATTACCTTACTCTTTCCTATTTCACTTTCAACTTTCTACCTTTACACACATTCTCAAACTCATCCACTAACCTTTGCAATTTTTCTTTAGAATCTCCCATAAGCACAGTATCATCAGCAAAAAGTAACTGTCAATTCCCATTTTGAATTTGATTGTCCAAAATTTAATCCCACCCCTCTCCCGAACACCCTAGCATTTACTTCCTTTACAACCCCATCTATAAATATATTAAACAACCATGGTGACATTACACATCCCTGTGTAAGACCTACTTTTACCAGGAAGTAGTCTCCCTCTCTTCTACACACCCTAACCTGAGCCTCACTATCCTCATAAAAACTCTTTACAGCATTTAATAACTTACCACCTATTCCATATACTTGCAACATCTGCCACATTGCTCCTCTATCCACTATCATATGCCTTTTCTAAATCCATAAATGCAATAAAAACTTCCCTACCTTTATCTAAATACTGTTCACATATATGCTTCGATGTAAACACTTGATCTACACACCCTCATAAATTCATTCACAAACCTTGGCAACTTCTCTAACCCGTAAATGGTCCAAACGTATATACGTATACGTTTTTTCAACATTTGAAAGTATGTAAAAAAAGTCGATCTTCTTTTTGTTTTTCTACATTTGAAAATGTGTAAAAAAACTTGATCTACTTTTGTAGCACTACACAAGTGAACGTAGATCTGCTTGGACCGTTTACGGGTTAAAACCTTCCAAAAGAACTATCATGAGCAATGAACAACTGAAAAACTCACTTTATATCAGATTCATTACCACCCACTTACCAGGACATTGAGTAGTAGCTCTATCTTCCTCTCTCTCCACAATAACCTTTGCACCACTTGAGTGAGATATGTTACGAACGACATCTCCATTTCTACCGATTATTCGTCCAACAGCTATCTGAAAAGCAAGGGGAGCTAATGTTATTTAAAGAGCAAAGATACAAAGAAAACATTATCTCTACAGTGACAGGTCTGAAAAAAACTTGCATAAGAGGAATACAAACCAGCAAACAATGCACACACAACTTTATTTAGATTTGCTTAGATTATAAATCTATGAATATAAACCCAATTTAGTAAATATAGATCAGTTAGCCAGACCCGAGTCCTGGAAGTGGGAAGTACAATACCTGCACCCTAAAAGGGGAGTTTGGGATATTGGCTGTCTGGAGTGACATCTAAACTGTCATATCTGGGCAGCTCTGCAAAGAGTGATATAGTGTGGGAGATGGCAGTCGTGTTGAAAAAAAACATCAGCATATAAAACAATAACCGATTTTTTTAGGTTAATGCAATAAAGTATTTTGGAAAACACAATTTCTGTTTTGTTTGCTGTATACAGTAGAAAACTTTTTTTTTAAACATGTCAGCCATTTCCCACCAAGGCAGGGGCAACCCAAAGAGAAAAACTCGCCCTCAAAAAAAAAAAAAAAAAAAAAAAAAAAAAACTTTCATCATGAACACTTTCACCATCACTCGTACATAATCACTGTCTTTGCAGAGGCACTCAGATATGACAGCTTAGACATCTCCCTCCACACTGCCAATATCCTTCCTTTAACCCTTTGACTGTTTTCGACGTATAAATACGTCTTACAATCCAATGTTTCTGACGTATATATACTCAATAATTCTAGTGGCTTCAAATCAAGCGGGAGAAAGCTGGTAGGCCCACATGTGAGAGAATGGGTCTGTGTGGTCAGTGTGCACCACAAAAAAAATCCTGCAACACACATTGCGTAATGAGAAAAAAAAACCTGATCGTTTTTTTGGAATAAAACGCCGACTTTGAGGTGTATTTTCGTATAGTATTTATCATTGTATTCGCGTTTTCATGGTCTTAGGTGATAAAATGGAAAACATATTACAGAAATAGAGATGACTTTCATTACTTTGACGATGAAAACGACCTTGAAACTGAGCTCAAAGTAGCGGAAATGTTCGATTTTTACCAATGTTCAGGAGTAAATAAATCACACCACACGTCCAATACACGTCAACTGGGGAGTCTAATATTCTTTCACTAGTGCACTGATATTATTTATACCATTTTTATAATAATGCAGTAGTCTGCATAACAGTAAATTATGTATTTTTTTGTATGAATAAAAAAATCAAAATAGAAAGCAATAATAATAAAAGAGGGGCCTAGAGATGTGACTAATGAACAGAGCATATGTCATTTTAGTGCCACGAATGTCTACCTTGTTTATTCTGGATCCTATTTTGAAATTGGCATCTTTTTTAGTTTGCGTGAAATTGGCCAAATTGCCAATTTCTGACCACCATATTGGGTAGTCCAAATTAGTAAATGGGAGGTTTCTTGTACTCAGCTGATAGATAAAATGGAGTTCTAAAGAAATAGCTATGAGTTTGGTCAACTGGAACAATGGAATTGGCTGAAAATAGGGCTCAAAGTCGGCGAAATCGCCGATACGCATATGTCGCCGAGACCGCTAACTTCACGGGAGCATAATTCCACGAGTTTTCTACCAAATTTCGAACTTTTGGTGTCATTAGCATCGGGGAAAGATTCTCTTATCATTTCATAAGAAAAATTTTTTTTTTTTTTTTTTTTCAAAAAATTGAGCGACATAGAATGACAGTTTCAGAAAGGGGCCCGAAACAGTAAAAGGGTTAAAGAGCAGGTATTGTACTTCCCATTTCCAGGACAAGTCCAGCTAACCAGTTTCCCTGAATCCCTTCACAAAATATTACCCTACTCGCACTCCAACAGCTCATCAGGTACCAAAAACCATTCGCCTTCATTCACTCCTATCTAACACACACACGATTGCTGGAAGTCCAAGCCCCTCATCCACAAAACTTCCTTTACCCCATTCCTCCAACTTTTTTGGGGATGACCCCTACCCTGCCTTCCTGTATTGTTAATTTTTTTTCAACACAGTGGCCATCTCCCACCAAGGTAGGATGACCCAAAAAAATTAGCAACACTTTCACCATGTGTGTGCCATATGTGTACCAACATAGCAGCTCTGATAACCTTCTGAATTGTAACACCCCTACCCTCCTTCAGAATACAGGCACACTGCTTCCTACCTCCAGGAATAAAAGTTTGGCTTCCTCACTCCTTTCTGCTAGTGTGACTTTGTAAATGGTCCAAGTTGGACTGTAACATCATCGTAAGCTCCTCTCTTGTATGTGCGGGTTGTGTATTGTTCCAGTCACAGTATTGTGCCTTTTTGTTCTTCAGGCTACTATTTTAAAAATTACAAGTCTACTACTGCACTGTATGTACTTTGCTGAAGACTCATCACGTAATCACATACATACATACATATACAGTAGACTCTCGCATAACGTTGGCATCACATAACGTTAAATCCGCATAGCGATACATTTTATCGCTAAAATTTTGCCTCTCATAGCGCTAAAAAACTCGCTCAACGCTATTCGTCCGAGACGCGTCTATGTGCGGCCTGAGCCAGCCTCACATGTTCCACCGGTGGCATTGTTTACAAGCCAGCCTCCGCGGTAACATCCAAGCATACAATCGAAACATTTCGTATTATTACAGCGTTTTTGGTGATTTCGTCTGCAAAATAAGTGACCATGGGCCCCAAGAAAGCTTTTAGTGCCAACCCTACAGGAATAAGGGTGAGAATTACTATGGAGATGAAGAAAGAGATCATTGCTAAGTATGAAAGTGGAGTACGTGTCTCCGAGCTGGCCAGGTTGTATAGTAAACCCCAATCAACCATCACTACTATTGTGTCCAAGAAAACGGCAATCAAGGAAAATGTTCTTGCCAAAGGTGCAACTGTGTTTTCGAAACAGAGATCGCAAATGATAGAAGATGTTGAGAGACTCTTATTGGTGTGGATAAACGAAAAACAGATAGCAGGAGATAGCATCTCTCAAGCGATCATAAGTGAAAAGGCTAGGAAGTTGCATCAGGATTTAATTAGAAAAATGCCTGCAACTAGTGATGATGTGAGTGAATTTAAGGCCAGCAAAGGTTGGTTTGAGAGATTTAAGAAGCGTAGTGGCATACATAGTGTGATAAGGCATGGTGAGGCTGCAAGTTCGGACCACAAAGCAGCTGAAAAATATGTGCAGGAATTCAAGGAGTACAGAGACAGTGAAGGACTGAAACCTGAACAAGTGTTTAATTGTGACGAAACAGGCCTGTTTTGGAAGAAAATGCCAAGCAGGACCTACATTACTCAGGAGGAAAAGGCACTCCCAGGACATAAGCCTATGAAAGACAGGCTTACTCTGTTAATGTGTGCCAATGCTAGTGGTGATTGCAAAGTGAAGCCTTTATTAGTTTATCACTCTGAAACTCCCAGAGCGTTCAGGCAAAAGAATATCCTCAAGGCTAATTTGTGTGTGCTGTGGAGGGCAAACAGTAAGGCATGGGTCACTAGGGACGTTTTCTATGACTGGTTGCACCAAGCATTTGCCCCCACTGTGAAAAATTACCTAATTGAAAATAAATTAGACCTTAAGTGCCTCCTGGTGTTAGACAATGCCCCTGGTCATCCTACAGACTTGTCAGAGCGACTTTGTGGGGACATGAGCTTCATTAACGTCAAGTTTTTGCCTCCTAATACCACTCCTCTCCTGCAGCCCATGGACCAGCAGGTCATTTCAAACTTCAAAAAACTGTACACAAAAGCTGTTTGAAAGGTGCTTTGTAGTGACCTCAGAAACTCAATTGACTAAGAGAGTTTTGGAGAGATCACTTTAATATCCTCAATTGTGTAAACCTTATAGGTAAGGCTTGGGAGGGAGTGACTAAGAGGACCTTGAACTCTGCTTGGAAGAAACTGTGGCCAGAATGTGTAGACAAAAGGGATTTTGAAGGATTTGAGGCTAACCCTGAGAGGAGTATGCCAGTTGAGGAATCAATTGTGGCATTGGGGAAGTCCTTGGGGTTGGAGGTTAGTGGGGAGGATGTGGAAGAGTTAGTGGAGGAGGACAATGAAGAACTAACCACTGATGAGCTGCTAGATCAACTTCAACAGCAAGAGGCCACACCTGAGGAAACCGCTTCGGAGGAGGGGAGAGAGAAATTGAAGTTGGCTACTTCAAAGATTAAGGAAATCTGTGCAAAGTGGCTTGAAGTGCAAACCTTTATGGATGAAAATCACCCTCAGAGAGTTGTTGCAAGCCGTGTTGGCAACCTGTACAGACAGTGTTGTGAACCACTTTAGGAAAGTCATAAAGGAACGAGAGGTACAGACCTCTATGGACATATGTTGTGCGACAGAAGTCCAGTGACTGAAGCTGGTCCTAGTGGCATTAAAAGAAGGGAAGTAACCCCAGAAAAGGACTTGACACCTCAAGGCCTAATGGAAGGGGATTCCCCTTCTAAACACTAAGACCATCAACACAATCCCCTCCTCCCATCCCATCAATCATCACCAGATCTTCAATAAAGGTAAGTGTCATGTAACTGTGCATGTCTTCTTCAGTTTGTGTGTATTAAAATTAATATTTCATGTGGTAAAATTTTTTTTTGTTCATACTTTGGGGTGTCAGGAATGGATTAATTTGATTTCCATTATTTCTTATGGGGAAAATTCATTCGCCTAACGATAATTTCGCCTAACGTTGAGCTCTCAGGAACGGATTAATAGCGTTATGCGAGGGTCCACTGTATACTGTATTCAACATAAAAGAATGAAAATATATTTACACTATCATATATTAAGTGAGTAATAGAGCTAGAACTAAAAAATGCATACACAGTATGCACATTACTTTAAAATACTTTCGCTCTTAGCTTACAGTGAGGGGTAAATATATTCATTGTAGGAAGTCTGAATATATGAAGAATGGTATAATTGATAACTGCTGCATTAATTAAACTCCATCAAACAAAGCACTGTAAAACAGGGCCTGACTGTATATTAATTCTATTTTTTTTTCAAGTTTCAGCTTCAGTTTTGCCCTTCCTTAAATCTTTTGGAAAGGCAATTAACTATTAATAAAATATCACAAATTATACACGCTGAAAAATCTAAGTAGGAGGCTACTGGTAGAACTGCAGCTGCTCTTATTGCCACTTCCCTACACAAGAGTGATAGGAACTATGTCGAGTTAAGCATAAAAAATTAACAGGGCATCTACATTGCAAACTGAATTTTTTGCCAGCCTAATAGCACTAAAGTTAACTTATAACAATCATCTTAACTCTGATTATTAATGATTCTATGTCATTACTAAAGGCAGTTGATTGACATTATGACTAACATGCTCACTGGAGAAGCCAGATACAGATACTAAAAAATCAGAGAAAAGGGAATCAATTCACAATTTTTATGGATTCCATCACACATTGACTTACCCTTTCATAATTAAATTGATTAGTTAAGTCAAAGACAGTACTCTGAAGGAAAATGTAGAACATAACTTTGGCATGTGTGTCTAGCATTAGAGAAGTAAATAATGAAACAATGTCACTGAAATGCAGTAAGGTGCCTGAGTAGATCTGCCACTCACTATAATAACATGATTAAAATATAGATAAGTATGTTTATGGAGAAACTTGCAAGGTGAGCAGACTGACTGATGCAGAAGCCAGGCTTAGGCTTGGTTACAATTACCTGTGGCAGTCAGGCAGACTCACAGATGATCAAACTAAATGTAAAGTATGTGGTCAGACTTATGGTCACTTTCTCGAACACAATGTGCTAAACTGTGCACGTATTGAGGAATATAGAGATAGACAGTATAATATCCTATGTAATATGTCAAGGTATCTTATTAATGTAAGCAAGATACCAGACATATGTATAAGGGAAATATCCTAAATTTGTTTGCAACAGAGAAGTCAATTTAAGATAGATCCAGATGCATTCCTGTTACCACTTTTGGAGCCTAGTTCCTAGGCCTTTTGTGTATCCATATACTCTTACACTACTGCCCATAGGATGGATATGCTTTGGTGGCAAATCTAAAATATTTAATCATGCCCAAAACACTGTGTAACATGAGCTTTAAATTATTAAATACAGTAGGGTGAATATTTCATGTCACACAGCATTTCCCCTTACGAGTCTTGGTCATATGCCAACTCATTCAGTGTTCATTTACTCATCTGACAGTTACCTGTTTCTCGATAATTGATCCATCCAGTAAAATATTAATGCATCATGCAAGATGTACTTACATGTAGTACTCTAATTAAAATTCAAACTCATGAAATAGTACTAAACAGGTATTTCATAAATACCCCATTATTGCTCTCCTCCTGTAACAATCACACAAACTAAAGCACTGTACTTACAATGGGAACCAACATTTCTGTAGTCTCAATCACAGGCTGATCATTTATAGCCTTGATGACTAATTTTTGCGCCACAGTAATGTTTTCTTCTGAGCCTCTAATGATGCATGTTCGATGTCCATCCACTTCTGCTGACCAAAACATTAACAATACATTTAAGCATGAGATGTGCAAATACTGTCAATACAACATTTCCCTTCTGCCAAATTGAAATTAAGTAATATGGTTGACATATACAAGTTACCCCAATTACCTGGAGTTTACCTGGAGAGAGTTCCGGAGGTCAACGCCCCCACGGCCCAGTCTGTGACCAGGCCTCCTGGTGGATCAGAGCCTGATCAACCAGGCTGTTACTGTTGGCTGCACGCAAACCAACATACGAGCCACAGCCCGGCTGGTCAGGAACCAACTTTAGGTGCTTGTCCAGTGCCAGCTTGAAGACTGCCAGGGGTCTGTTGGTAATCCCCCTTATGTATGCTGGGAGGCAGTTGAACAGTCTCGGACCCCTGACACTTATTGTATGGTCTCTTAACGTGCTAGTGACACCCCTGCTTTTCATTTGGGGGATGTTGCATCATCTGCCAAGTCTTTTGCTTTCGTAATGAGTGATTTTCGTGTGCAAGTTCGGTACTAGTCCCTCTAGGATTTTCCAGGTGTATATAATCATGTATCTCTCCCGCCTGCATTCCAGGGAATACAGGTTCAGGAACCTCAAGCGCTCCCAGTAATTGAGGTGTTTTATCTCCATTATGCGCGCCGTGAAGGTTCTCTGTACATTTTCTAGGTCAGCAATTTCACCTGCCTTGAAAGGTGCTGTTAGTGTGCAGCAATATTCCAGCCTAGATATTCCTTTAGCAGGCATTTTGTGCGCTATTACGCCATGGTCACACTTGTCGAAGGCTTTTGCAAAGTTTGTATATATTACATCTGCATTCTTTTTGTCTTCTAGTGCATCTAGGACCTTGTCGTAGTGATCCAATAGTTGAGACAGACAGGAGCGACCTGTTCTAAACCCATGTTGCCCTGGGTTGTTTAGTTGATGGGTTTCTAGACGGGTGGTGATCTTGCTTCTTAGGACCCTTTCAAAGATTTTAATGATATGGGATGTTAGTACTATTGGTCTGTAGTTCTTTGCTGTTGCTTTACTGCCCCCTTTGTGGAGTGGGGCTATGTCATTATAAATTTTGGGTACTCGCACAACAACTGGGATAACACCCTTTGAGCAACACTGGATAAGGGATTTATACAAGAAACTATTTATGACTGGCGAGAATTGCATGAATGTACAACATTAACACAGGTAACTTTCCATAATGTACATAAAAATTATGATACTGTAATTGTATACTTTTCCTATCAGTACAACTGTAATGCTTATGTAAATTATTGGTTCAGAGAATGAAAAATTGATAAATTGATAAATTTATCAATTTGTAATGCTTATCAGTTAATATGGTTCAAGTCAATGATTCATCTATGCAAACAGGTTACTGGTGGGCATGCAATGTTTGTACCAGTCTCACAAGCAAACATTCCAACCAAAATCTACACTATCTTTTTATACGATATCTTACTGTGCTGACAGTTTTTGTTTAGCTTAATTAAAAAAAAAAATTTGCAATTTTTTTAAACTGACAATGGCCAGAGTTAAGAATAATTTGATTTTTATATCATAGATCAGCAATAAAAATTACATTACAATAATGTAATATGTAATGGCAATATTAACATTACCTGTGGCAGTCTAGCAGACTCACAGATCATGATCAAACTAAATGTAAAGTATGTGGTGAGCCTTATGGTCACTTTCTTGAACACTAATAATTTTGGGGAACTTGTGATAGTTAATATGGATTAAGCATAGGTAGATAGGCAGGTAAGGCATGCACGCAAATACTACAGTGGTACCTCGAGTTACGAACTTAATTTGTTCCTGAAGGCTGTTCGAGTGCCAATACCGAACAAATTTGTTCCCATAAGGAATAATGTAAAGTAGATTAGTCTGTTTCAGACCCCAAAAATACACTTACAAAAATATACTTACATAATTGTTCGAGTTGGAAGCTGTTCGAAACTCGAGGTACCACTGTACAGTGGACCCCCGCATAACGATTACCTCCAAATGCGACCAATTATGTAAGTGTATTTATGTAAGTGCATTTGTACGTGTATGTTTGGGGGTCTGAAATGGACTAATTTACTTCACAATATTCCTTATGGGAACAAATTCGGTCAGTACTGGCACCTGAACATACTTCTGGAGTGAAAAAATATCGTTAACCGGGGGTCCACTGTATATGTATTCTCTACTTAAAAACAAAAAAAGTCCACCATTTAGCACAGTATTGTACAAAAAATGTATTTTTTTAGACATTCCACTACATCAGTGAACACAATGCACTGTTATAATCGAGCACAAACAGTGTGTACAATACAGTACTACAACCTATGGTTGGGCAGCCCTTATTTAGAAAGTGGTCATAGTTTATTTTACATTTTATTTACTAAAAATATGAGCAGAATTGTACAAGCTTTTTATGAAAATACAGCACTGTACCTTCATCCAGTTATATCTTCTAAATTCCTGTGAATACCTGGAGTTTACCTGAAGAGAGTTCCGGGGGTCAACGCCCCCGCAGCCCGGTCTGTGACCAGGCTGCCTGGTGGATCAGAGCCTGATCAACCAGGCTGTTACTGCTGGCTGCACGCAAACCAACATACGAGCCACAGCCCAGCTGGTCAGGAACCGACTTTAGGTGCTTGTCCAGTGCCAGCTTGAAGACTGCCAGGGGTCTGTTGGTAATCCCCCTTATGTATGCTGGGAGGCAGTTGAACAGCCTCGGGCCCCTGACACTTATTGTATGGTCTCTTAACGTGCTAGTGACACCCCTGCTTTTCATTGGGGGGATGTTGCATCGTCTGCCAAGTCTTTTGCTTTCGTAGCGAGTGATTTTCCTGTGCAAGTTCGGTACTAGTCCCTCTAAGATTTTCCAGGTGTATATAATCATGTATCTCTCCCGCCTGCGTTCCAGGGAATACAGGTTTAGGAACCTCAGGCGCTCCCAGTAATTGAGGTGTTTTATCTCCGTTATGCGCGCCATGAGGGTTCTCTGTACATTTTCTAGGTCAGCAATTTCACCTGCCTTGAAAGGTGCTGTTAGTGTGCAGCAATATTCCAGCCTAGATAGAACAAGTGACCTGAAGAGTGTCATCATGGGCTTGGCCTCCCTAGTTTTGAAAGTTCTCATTATCCAATCTGTCATTTTTCTAGCAGATGCGATTGATACAATGTTATGGTCCTTGAAGGTGAGATCCTCCGACATGATTACTCCCAGGTCTTTGACATTGGTGTTTCGCTCTATTTTGTGGCCAGAATTTGTTTTGTACTCTGATGAAGATTTAATTTCCTCGTGTTTACCATATCTGAGTAATTGAAATTTCTCATCGTTGAACTTCATATTGTTTTCTGCAGCCCACTGAAAGATTTGGTTGATGTCCGCCTGGAGCCTTGCAGTGTCTGCAATGGAAGACACTGTCATGCAGATTTGGGTGTCATCTGCAAAGGAAGACACGGTGCTGTGGCTGACATCCTTGTCTATGTCGGATATGAGGATGAGGAACAAGATGGGAGCGAGTACTGTGCCTTGTGGAACAGAGCTTTTCACCATAGCTGCCTCGGACTTTACTCTGTTGACGACTACTCTGTGTTCTGTTAGCGAGGAAATTATAGATCCATCGACTGACTTTTCCTGTTATTCCTTTAGCACGCATTTTGTGCGCTATTATGCCATGGTCACACTTGTCGAAGGCTTTTGCAAAGTCTGTATATATTACATCTACATTCTTTTTGTCTTCTAGTGCATCTAGGACCTTGTCGTAGTGATCCAATAGTTGAGACAGACAGGAGCAACCTGTTCTAAACCATGTTTCCCCTGGGTTGTGTAACTGATGGGTTTCTAGATGGGTGGTGATCTTGCTTTTAGGCCCCTTTCAAAGATTTTTATGATATGGATGTTAGTGCTATCGGTCTGTAGTTCTTTGCTGTTGCTTTACTCCCCCCTTTGTGGTGGGGCTGTCTGTTGTTTTTAGTAACTCGGGGGACGACCCCGTGTCCATGCTCCCTCTCCATAAGATGGAAAAGGCTTGTGATAGGGGTTTTCTTGCAGTTCTTGATGAACACTGAGTTCCATGAGTCTGGCCCTGGGGCAGAGTGCATGGGCATGCCATTTATCGCCTTTCGAAGTCATTTGGCGTCAGGATAACACGGATAGGCTTGTTTTAAACCAATTTCTGTGGCTCTCTCATAAAAAATTCATTTTGATCTTCGACTCTGTCTGGTTAGCGGCTTGCTAAAACTGAGTCATATTGGGGCTTGAGTAGCTCACTCATTTCCTTGCTGTCATCTGTGTAAGGACCCATCTTGTTTAAGTAGGGGCACAATCGGGAAGTTGTTCTCGACTTTGATTTGGCATAGGAGAAGAAATACTTTGGGTTTCTTTCAATTTCATTTATGGTTTTTTAGTTTTTTCCCGCGATTCCTGACTCCTATAAGATTCCTTTAGCTTAAGTTCGATGCTTGCTATTTCTCTGACCAGTGTCCCCCCTCGCATTTCACATATATTGACCTCTTTTAGCCGCTCTGTTATTCTTTTCCGTCGCCTGTAAAGGGAGCGCCTGTCTCTTTCTATTTTACATCTACTCCTTTTTCTTAGAGGAATAAGCCTTGTGCATACATCGAGTGCCACCAAGTTTATCTGTTCTAGGCATAAGTTGGGGTTTGTGTTGCTTAGTATATCTTTCCAGCTTATATCGGTTAGAACTTGGTTTACTTGGTCCCACTATGTTTTTGTTATTGAAATTGAATTTGGTGAATGCTCCCTCGTGACTAATCTCTATGTCGGTCTGGGGTTCCACGCATACATGTCTGAACCACAATTATGTTGTGATCTGAGTATATTGTTTTTGATATGGTGACATGTTTTATCAGATCTCATTGTTAGTGAAGATGAGTCTAGTGTATTCTCTAGTCTAGTAGGCTCTATTATTTGCTGGTTTAAATTGAATTTTGTGCAGAGATTTAAAAGCTTGTGTGAGTGAGAGTTTTCATCAGAGCTGCCTCCTGGTGTTATTACTGCAACAATATTATTTGCTATATTCCTCCATTTTAGGTGCCTTAAGTTGAAATCCCCCAGGAGCAAGATGTTGGGTGCAGGAGCTGGAAGATTTTCCAGACAGTGGTCAATTTTTAACAGCTGTTCCTGGAATTGCTGGGATGTTGCATCCGGAGGCTTGTAGACTACCACAATGACTAGGTTTTGGTTCTCGACCTTTACTGCTAAAACTTCCACTACATCATTTGAGTCATTAATCAGTTTGTGCAAACAAGTGACTCTGCAATGACTCTGAATAACTATTATTACTGTATCAACATTTTTTTAACGTCTCTTACATTATCCTAAAGTTCAATGACTTGTCTAGTCCACAAGTCTGTTTTGAAACAGGTGTGAATTTTTTTTTTACTGTAATCCTGCAATCAAATGTTATTGTCGAATTAGTCTTAAGATAGGCTTAAGTTTGCCTGAAATGCTCGGCACACTAAGGGGCTTTCTGCATGAACACCTAAATGTCACCCACTCCTGTGCAAACAGTTTATCATGATGAAGAATCTAATCTAATGTTATTTATTTTTAACTGCTTATTGAACTTCCATTAAGTCTGATGAAAATTTACATCAGGCATGTGGGACAATTAGCATAAAAGACAGTCCACATAGGTATTTATGAGTACAAACATAATGAACACATCTGAGTACATACTGCAATTTATCATATTCGAGTTAGATGGCATGCAGAAAGTGTATAAAAAAAAAGGTAGGTACTTTACTTAAATGATGATGATAATTATTATAATCAAAAAGAAGCGCTAAGCCACAAGGGCTATACAGCGCTGACTTAAATGATAATTATTAACAAATAATAGGTCCCAAACTAACCTTCATCGCTGAAATTTATTTTTGTGTTTGTACGTTCCTGAATCAACTTTATGTTTGAGCCATGTCGTCCAATGACAAGTCCAACAGAACTAAGGGGTACTTGCACTTTTACAGTTGACCACTGGTTGGCTTTAATATTAACCAGCTTAATTTCGTCTTCATCCTACAAAGTCAATATGAAATAAACTGGAACCATTACAAAATTTATTTTACATGCTAATCTATCCCCAAATCTCAGTGTTTTTTTATTATGCATTTATTAATACAGTATTTCTTTACCCAAAGAGCAAAACTAAGAGATGTCAGAGTTGGGAAAGGTGTGAAAATGTTGTCAACTGAACAACTGTGAAAAGTTAACAGGTATGAGTGACAATTTGAGAAATGTGTTGCAGAGTACGAAACTAAGATACATTAAAGGAATTTGAGCACCGAGAAAATTACATGATTTTTTTTTTGTACGAGGACTACATTTTAATCACAGATGACTTGAAAAAACTCAACACCGAGTAAAACGTAGTCCCAATAAAAGCATATTTTGTATATTATATTGTATCTTTACTAATACCTTTCAGCACTAAATCTCACGTCAGGAAACACTTGTCCTGTTTCCTAACCAAAAGAAGGAATTAAAATAACTTCTTAGTGTATCTACACACACGCCTACATCTTTGTGTGTGTATATACTATACATATAAATACGAAGATTTATAAATGGGAAATTTCCCAGCTTTTATTCAGTGCTACAAGATCACCACAAACTCAACTTTCTCCATATATCACCGCCCCTCAAGGAAGGTTCCTTGATGTTGGTGAGGGGCTCTTGATTTAGGGAATTGGATCTGTGCTCCAGTTCCCCGAATTAAGCCTGAATGCCTTCCACATCCCCCCCCCAGGCGCTGTATAATCCTCCGGGTTTAGCGCTTCCCCCTCGATTATAATAACAATAATAATCCATATATCACCACATAAAACGAGCCACAAGCCAACATTATATCCTTGGACTCGACACCTCAGGGCTTTTATACGTATTTTCCTCCCTTTACTGTCTTCTCTTTACCCTTAGAACATCTGCAAAGTTAAAATATTAAAAAAAGACATATGTGAATTACGATGAGTTAAGTTCTACTATGAGGTAAGAAAAGAGGGAAGATATATTATTATTACAGTAATCAAAACTAAGCGCTAAACCCGGAGGGAAGATATAAAAATGTACCAGGACCCCAATGGAAATAAAGTCACATTTTCTGACATTTTTGTGGGATTATCTTAAGTATTTTACACACGTTACCATGCATGATAATTTGTATATATATATTTACGTGTACCTGTAGTTAAATAAACTACTTTAATGTTTACATCAGAAATGAGCAAAACAATATTCAAACCAACAAAAAAAACACTACAAATGGAAGGTGTCAGGGCACTGAGAGACAATTACCTTCTTGGTGAGGTAGTAATATATAGTTCCAGCCACGCCAGACAGTAATAAAGCTCCACCCAGAGGATAGAGAAGTGATCTAGCTCGCCCGGCGTCCATACTAGTAGCCCGCACCTCCCAGGGGCTCCCAGGCAACTGACTCTCCCTACCACAGTGGCCAGCACTCATACATGGTAAGTAGCGGTAGTAGTGGTGAGGAAGGTAGCGGTAGTAGTGAGGAAGGTAGCGGTAGTAGTGAGGAAGGTAGCGGTAGTAGTGGTGAGGAAGGTAGCGGTAGTAGTGAGGAAGGTAGCGGTAGTAGTGAGGAAGGTAGCGGTAGTAGTGAGGAAGGTAGCGATAGTAGTGAGGAAGGTAGCGGTAGTAGTGAGGAAGGTAGCGGTAGTAGTGAGGAAGGTAGCGATAGTAGTGAGGAAGGTAGCGGTAGTAGTGAGGAAGGTAGCGGTAGTAGTGAGGAAGGTAGCGGTAGTAGTGAGGAAGGTAGCGGTAGTAGTGAGGAAGGTAGCGGTAGTAGTGGTGAGGAAGGTAGCGGTAGTAGTGAGGAAGGTAGCGATAGTAGTGAGGAAGGTAGCGGTAGTAGTGAGGAAGGTAGCGTAGTAGTGGTGAGGAAGGTAGCGTAGTATGAGGAAGGTAGCGGTAGTAGTGGTGAGGAAGGTAGCGGTAGTAGTGAGGAAGGTAGCGGTAGTAGTGAGGAAGGTAGCGATAGTAGTGAGGAAGGTAGCGATAGTAGTGAGGAAGGTAGCGGTAGTAGTGAGGAAGGTAGCGATAGTAGTGAGGAAGGTAGCGATAGTAGTGGGAAGGTCGGTAGTAGTGAGGAAGGTAGCGATAGTATGAGGAAGGTAGCGGTAGTAGTGAGGAGGAGCGGTAGTAGTGAGGAAGGTACGGTAGTAGTGAGGAAGGTAGCGGTAGTATGAGGAGTAGCGGTAGTAGTGAGGAAGGTAGCGGTAGTAGTGAGGAAGGTAGCGGTAGTAGTGAGGAAGGTAGCGGTAGTAGTGAGGAAGGTAGCGGTAGTACTGAGGAAGGTAGCGGTAGTACTGAGGAAGGTAGCGGCAGTACTGAGGAAGTAGCAGTAGTACTGAGGAAGGTAGCGGTAGTACTGAGGAAGGTAGCGGCAGTACTGAGGAAAGTAGCAGTAGTACTGAGGAAGGTAGCGGTAGTAGTGAGGAGTAGCGGCAGTACTGAGGAGGTAGCAGTAGTACTGAGGAAGGTAGCGGTAGTAGTGAGGAAGGTAGCTGTAGTACTGAGGAAGGTGGGGGTAGTAGTGAGAAAGGTAGCGGTAGTAGTGAGGAAGGTAGCGGTAGTAGTGAGGAAGGTAGATAGTAGTGAGGAAGGTAGCGGTAGTAGTGAGGAAGGTAGCTGTAGTAGTGAGAAAGGTAGCGGTAGTAGTGAGAAAGGTAGCGATAGTAGTGAGGAAGGTAGAGATAGTAGTGAGGAAGGTAGCGGTAGTAGTGAGAAAGTACGATAGTAGTGAGGAAGTAGCAGTAGAGTGAGGAAGTAGCGGTAGTAGTGAGGAAGTAGCGGTAGTAGTGAGAAGGTAGCGGTAGTATGAGGAAGGTTCGTAGTAGTGAGGAGGTAGCGGTAGTGGAGGAAGGTAGCGGTATAGGTGAGGAAGGTAGCGGTAGTAGTGAGAAAGGTAGCGGTAGTAGTGAGGAAGGTAGCGGTAGTAGTGAGGAAGGTAGCGGTAGTAGTGAGGAAGGTAGCGGTAGTAGTGAAGAAGGTAGCGGTAGTAGTGAGAAAGGTAGCGATAGTAGTGAGGAAGGTAGCGGTAGTACTGAGGAAGGTAGCGATAGTAGTGAGGAAGGTAGCAGTAATAGTGAGGAAGGTAGCGATAGTAGTGAGGAGCGTAGCGATAGTAGTGAGGAAGGTAGCAGTAGTAGTGAGGCAGGTAGCGATAGTAGTGAGGAAGGAAGCGATAATAGTGAGGAAGGTAGCAGTAGTAGTGAGGAAGGTAGCGGTAGTACTGAGGAAGGTAGCGATAATAGTGAGGAAGGTAGCAGTAGTAGTGAGGAAGGTAGCGATAGTAGTGAGGAAGGTAGCAGTAGTAGTGAGAAAGGTAGCGATAGTAGTGAGGAACGTAGCGATAGTAGTGAGGAAGGTAGCAGTAGTAATGGGAGGTAGCGATAGTAGTGAGAAGTAGCGATAGTAGTGAGGAAGGTAGCAGTAGTAGTGAGGAAGGTAGCGATAGTAGTGAGGAAGGTAGCGACAGTAGTGAGGAAGGTAGCGGTAGTAGTGAAAAAGGTAGCGATAGTAGTGAGGAAGGTAGCGGTTGTAGTAAGGAAGGTAGCGATAGTAGTGAGAAAGGTAGCGGTAGTAGTGAGGAAGTTAGCGATAGTAGTGAGGAAGGTAGCGATAGTAGTGAGGAAGGTAGCGATAGTAGTGAGGAAGGTAGCGATAGTACTGAGGAAGGTAGCGATAGTAGTGAGGAAGGTAGCAGTAGTAGTGAGGAAGGTAGCGGTAGTACTGAGGAAGGTAGCGGTAGTAGTGAGGAAGGTAGCAATAGCAGTGAGAAAGGTAGCGATAGAAGTGAGGAAGGTAGCGGTTGTAGTAAGGAAGGTAGCGATAGTAGTGAGAAAGGTAGCGGTAGTAGTGAGGAAGGTAGCGATAGTAGTGAGGAAGGTAGCGATAGTAGTGAGGAAGGTAGCGATAGTAGTGAGGAAGGTAGCGATAGTACTGAGGAAGGTAGCGGTAGTAGTGAGGAAGGTAGCGATAGTAGTGAGGAAGGTAGCGATAGTAGTGAGGAAGGTAGCGGTAGTAGTGAGGAAGGTAGCGATAGTAGTGAGAAAGGTAGCGGTAGTAGTGAGGAAGGTAGCGATAGTAGTGAGGAAGGTAGCGATAGTAGTGAGGAAGGTAGCGATAGTACTGAGGAAGGTAGCGGTAGTAGTGAGGAAGGTAGCGATAGTAGTGAGGAAGGTAGCGATAGTACTGAGGAAGGCAGTGATACTTGTGAGGAAGGTAGCAGTAGTAGTGAGGAAAGTAGCGATAGTACTGAGGAAGGTAGCGATAGTTGTGAGGAAGGTAGCGATAGTACTGAGGAAAGTAGCGATAGTAGTGAGGAAGGTAGCGATAGTAGTGGGTAGGGTAGTGCTAGTGGTGAGTAAAGTAGCGCTAGTGGCACGTATGTTAGTAATACGAGCAGTAGTGTTAGTAATACGTACAGCAGTGCTAGCAACGCGTACAGTAGTGCTAGTAATACGTACAGTAGTGCTAGTAATATGTACAGTAGTGCTAGTAATACGTACAATAGTGCTAGTAATACGTACAGTAGTACTAGTAACACGTACAGTAGTGCTAATAACACGTACAGTAGTGCTAGTAATACGTACAGTAGCGCTAGTAACACAGTAGTGCTAGTAATAGGTACAATAGTGCTAGTAATACGTACAGTAGTGCTAGTAACACGTACAGTAGTGCTAATAATACGTACACTAGTGCTAGTAATACGTACAATAGTGCTAGTAATATGTACAGTAGTGCTAGTAACACGTACAGTAGTGCTAGTAACACGTACAGTAGCGCTAGTAATACGTACAGTAGCGCTAGTAATACGTACAGTAGTGCTAGTAACACGTATAGTAGTGCTAGTAATACGTACAGTAGTGCTAGTAATAGGTACAGTAGTGCTAGTAACACGTATAGTAGTGCTAGTAACACGTACAGTAGTGCTAGTAATACGTACAGTAGTGCTAGTAATACGTACAGTAGTACTAGTAACACGTATAGTAGTGCTAGTAATACGTACAGTAGTGCTAGTAATACGTACAATAGTGCTAGTAACACGTATAGTAGTGCTAGTAACACGTACAGTAGTGCTAGTAATACGTACAGTAGTGCTCGTAATACGTACAGTAGTACTAGTAACACGTATAGTAGTGCTAGTAACACGTACAGTAGTGCTAGTAATACGTACAGTAGTGCTAGTAACACGTACAGTAGTGTTAGTAATACGTACAGTAGTGTTAGTAATACGTACAGTAGTGCTAGTAATACGTACAGTAGTGCTAGTAACACGTACAGTAGTGCTAGTAATACGTACAGTAGTGCTAGTAATACGTACAGTAGTGCTAGTAATACGTACAGTAGTACTAGTAACACGTATAGTAGTGCTAGTAATACGTACAGTAGTGCTAGTAATACGTACAATAGTGTTAGTAACACGTATAGTTAGTGCGTAGTACACGTACAGTAGTGCTAGTAATACGTACAGTAGTGCTCGTAATACGTACAGTAGTACTAGTAACACGTATAGTAGTGCTAGTAACACGTACAGTAGTGCTAGTAATACGTAAAGTAGTGCTAGTAACACGTACAGTAGTGTTAGTAATACGTACAGTAGTGTTAGTAATACGTACAGTAGTGCTAGTAATACGTACAGTAGTGCTAGTAACACGTACAGTAGTGCTAGTAATACGTACAGTAGTGCTAGTAATACGTACAGTAGTGCTAGTAATACGTACAGTAGTACTAGTAACACGTATAGTAGTGCTAGTAACACGTACAGTAGTGCTAGTAACACGTACAGTAGTGTTAGTAACACGTACAGTAGTGCTAGTAACACGTACAGTAGTGCTAGTAACACGTACAGTAGTGCTAGTAACACGTACAGTAGTGTTAGTAATACGTACAGTAGCACTAGTAACACGTACAGTAGTGCTAGTAACACGTACAGTAGTGTTAGTAACACGTACAGTAGCACTAGTAACACGTACAGTAGTGCTAGTAATACGTATAGTATTAGTAACACGTATAGTAGTGCTAGTAACACGTACAGTAGTGCTAGTAATACGTACAGTAGAGCTAGTAACACGTACAGTAGTGTTAGTAACACGTACAGTAGTACTAGTAACACGTACAGTAGTACTAGTAACACGTACGGTAGTGCTAGTAACACGTACAGTAGTGCTAGTAACACGTACAGTGGTGCCAGTGGAACGTAAAGCAGAAGCACTGCCTCTGTATCAAGTTAACATCAAGACTTACACTTCAGGGAACAGAATTCTTATAAACATTAAGAGTGTAGAATGTTCCCAGTCACCAAAAAGACTGCAATGATTTGCTTGTTGAAAAAGCTGGTTCATATTTTCAGGAGTGTTTTCACGAAGGGAAAAAAGATAAATTATTGGCATGAGGTGCCTTAGACCTGCATTTATTCAAATTCAAATTCAATGTTTATTCTCTATAAG